GCGATGGCCTCCAACCTAAAAGCAATGGCCTCCTACCTACTTGGGATGGCATCCAACCTAAATGCGATGGCCTCCAACCTAAAAGCAATGGCCTCCAACCTACAAGCGATGGCCTCCAACCTACTAGTGATGGCCTCGAAGCTAAAAGCGATGGCCTTCAACCTAAAAGCCATGGCGTCCAACCTAAAAGCACCTCTAACCTAAAAGTTATGGCCTCCAACCTAAAAGGAATGGCCTCCACCCTACTAGGGTTGGCCTCCAACCTAAAAGCGATAGCCGCCAACCAAAAAGCAATGGCGTCCAACCTAAAAAGCAATGGCCTCCAACCTAAAAAAGCGACGGCCTGCAACCCACCTAAAAGCAATGGCCTCCAACCTACTAGCGATGTCCAAAAGCGATGGCCTCCAACCAAAAAACCAATGGCGTCAAACGTGAAAGCAATGGCCTCCAACCTACTAGGGATGGCCCGCAACCTAAAAGTGATGGCCTCCAGCCTACTAGGCACGGCCTCCAATGTAAAAGCAGTTGCCTCCAACCTAAAAGCAATGGCGTGCAACCTAAAAGCAATGGCCTCCAACCTACTAGGGATGGCCTCCAACCTAAAAAAGATTGCCTCCAACCTACTAGGCATGGCCTCCAATCTAACAGCGATGGCCTCAACCTAAAAGCAATGGCCTCCAACCTACTAGGGATGGCCTCCAATCTAAAAGCGATGGCCTGCAACCTAAAATCGATGTCCTCCAACCTACTAGGGATGGCCTCCAACCTAAAAGCACTGGTGTCCAACCTATAAAGCAATGGCCTCCAATCTACTAGGATGGCCTGCAACCTGAAACCGATGGCCTCCAACCTAAAAGCGAAGGCCTGCAACCTAAAAGCAATGGCGTCCAAGCTAAAGCAATGGCCTCCAATCTACTAGGGATGTCCAAAAGCGATTGCCTCCAACCTAAAAGCAATGGCGTCCAACCTACTAGGAATATCCTGCAACCTAAAAGCGATGGCCTCCAACCTAAAAGCAATGGCGTCAAACCTGAAAGCAATGGCCTCCAACCTACTAGG